CCCGGCCCTGACGCACGTGCCTTGCAGCGCCATCCACCTGTGCAACAACTCCATCCAGAAGCACCTCAAGAACGACAAGGACCGCAGCCCGCTGCTGCCCTGCCACAACATGTGGACCAGCACCCGGTTCCAAGAGTACCTGCAGCGGCGGGGCCGCGGCGCCGTGTGGGGCACCGTCATCTACCCCGCCATGAAGCGCGCCATCGCCGACACCATGAAGGTGGGGCAGGACCACGTGGAGGCGCGCAAGAACAGCTTCGAGCTCTATGGTGCAGACTTCGTCCTGGGGCGCGACTTCAAGCCCTGGCTGATCGAGATCAACTCCAGCCCCACCATGCACCCGTCCACGCCCGTCACGGCGCAGCTGTGCGCGCAGGTGCAAGAGGACACCATCAAGGTGGTGGTGGACCGCAAGCTTGACCGCAACTGCGACGTGGGCGACTTCGAGCTGCTGTGGAGACAGGTGAGCGGCTCCCGGGAGGGCGGGCGGGAGGGCCACTGCGCTGTGGGCTCGCCTCATCCCTCCTTCCCTCCCTGGGAACCCTGCGGCCGACCCCCCCAGCTCTCTCAGGGTCTCTGGGGGCCTGCCCCCCCCCCCGCCCCGGGAGCCCTTCCGCTGGCCGGCTGCGCTCCAAGCCTGGGCTTTGGGGGCGGGTGGGATGCGGGGCCCAGAATCCCGCCCCTGGACGAGGGGCGTGGCCGCTCGGGGAAGGGAGGCCGGGACCTGAGCGCGGGGCGCGGCCCCCTGAGCGCCCCCCTGAGCGCCCCGCCGCCCAGCCCGCGGTGGACCTGCCGCCGTTCCACGGCTCCGACCTCTGCGTGGAAGGCGTCAGCCTGAGGAGAGCCAAGCAGCCGGTGCCGCCCGTTTCCAGCGCACACTTGCCGTCGTCGCTCTCGAACATTCAGCCACTAAAAACACGGTGCCCCTCGGCCGCGCCGGACCGACCCCCGGCCACGGCGGTCCAGCAAGACTTAAAACTGCAGGACGAAAAGGTCCTGCCCTGCGCCTTGCCCGCGCCCCTGAAGCCGCCGGCGGAGAGGGGCTCCAGGGCGAGGCCCGCGCACGCCACAGC